ACCAGATGCTCTGCTGGAGAAGGAGGGACAATCTCCTCCTGTACCAGTCAGATCCAATTTAACAGTACACACACACAATTTTAAAGAATAGATCATTCGGGAGGCTGAGCTTTATGAGGAGGAAAATGTGGCATCAAGATTAAAGGAAGAATCAACAACAATCTACATTACGCAGATGACACAACCTTGCTTGCCGAAACTGAGGACATGAAGTGTTTGCTGCAAGTCAAGGACTGTAGTGTTCAATATGGATTGAAGCTCAGCATCAAGAAGACAAAGATTCTCACCACATGGCCAACTGGCAGCACCATGATGGAGAAGAGATTGAGGTTGTAAACAATTACAGCTTGCTTGGTGTTAACACTCTTAACACCAGCAGTCAGGAAATCAAGACAAATTGTATTGGGAAAATCTGCTGTCAGGCACCTCTCCAGAGTGCTGAGAAGCAACAATGTCCGTCTAGAGACTAAGGTGCACCTGATCCTGGCCATGGCCTTTGCAATTACTTGCTATGTATCAGAGAGCTGGGCAATAGCTAAAGATGACAGAAGAACTGATGCCTTTTGAGTTGTGGTGCTGGAGAAGAGTCTTGAACATATACCTTGGACTGCCAAGAAAACAAAATAGGTCGGTCCTGAAGAGGGTGAAACCAAGTTTCTCCTTGGAGGTTGGGATTTGACTGTCCATCTCACATACTATGGGCATGCTGCCAAGAGGGACCAGTCCTTGGAGGACATCATGCTTGGAAGGGTGGAGGGACAGTGTAGGAAAAGAAGACCCTGGATGAGCTGGATTGATAACAGCAACAGGTTTTAATGTGTTGGAATCAGCGAAACTGGCTCAGAACAGAGCAGGCTTCAGAGCTGTTGTACACAGGGTCAACACGAGTCACAGGCAACATGACAGTACATAACAAAAAGAAACAAGGCCTAGAAAAATGGATGACTATACCATGCTCATGTATTGGAAAACTTAATTCTGTGAAAATGAAGATTTTAACAAAAGCAATCTTCAGATTCAATGCAATCCAACACTATTATTGAAAGAGATGGAAAAGAATTTCCGAGTTTATTTGGAAAGGAAAGAGACTCTGGATAAGCAAAATGCTCTCAAAACCTATCACAGAGACACAGTAACAGAAGCAACATGGGACTTGGGAGAGAGGCAAACACTTAGACCAATGGAAATGAGAACCCAGACAGCAAGCCATCCACACCTGTGGTCAACTGATGATTGCCAAAGAGATGAAACCCATTAAATGGGAAACTGCCAAAAACAGAAACAAAATCCAGACCTCAAACTGTACACAATACAATTCAAAGTGGATAAAAAATCCAGGGCTAAAACCAAAACTATAAAAATCATCAGAGAAAGACAGAAACAAACCACACTACAATACCAAAGGCACAGTTCAAAATGCATAGGTGCGAGCTCTGGTGGCCTAGTGGCAAGAAGCTGCACTGCAATCCCAGAGGCACATGGTTCAAATCCAACAGATGCTCTGCTGAAGAAGGAGGGACAATCTCTTCCTATACCAGTCAGATTCAATTTGACGGCACACACACACACACTTAAAAAAATGCATAGGTGCTCCGAGAGAGAAGGATGAGAATTCTCCTCCCATGCAATTAACTGCCTCCGAAAACCTGCTGGAGGGTCAGCTATGGTTCAGTTCAAAGTCAACAGCACACCACTACCATCTATGGCATAGGGAGCCAAGTGGCCTATGGTAGGACAATACACTGTAATCCCAAAGTTTAGCACTGTGAATCTACCAGCTCCTCTGCGAGGGGATAGGAATCTTCTCCCATGTGTTTTACTGCCTCTGTTGGGATGGTTCCAAATTTATGGCACACAACAATTCATGGCATAAAGAGATTTACCAAACATAGCCAAAAAAAATACACAAGCAGGAATGAGGGTTGCAGAGTGGATTATATTTGGGGGTGGGGGAAGTGCGGGGGGGGGGATTGTGTACCAATGAGGGAGTTTTTCTTTTGCTTTTCAAGGAGAGGAGCTAACTGGGAGGGGGTGGGGGGAGAAGGGTGCAACAATGAATGAATGGAATTAAAAAAAAAGTTTTTCAAAGAAACAAACCACACAAACTGGGAATTTTTAGGAGACTAACATTTCTATGTTGCTGTTGTTGTTCTGTACTGTCAGAACTGACAGTAGCTGACTCTCTGGGATTTTCAAAGGCAATAAATTGTACGGAAGAGAAAAAAAGATTTAAAAAATAAAAAAAATACACAAGCAGAAGATGATGAAATGGTGAATGGAGCCTTCTAAAAAGGAAATCCTTGTATGAATCAAAAAACCTCAAAAAGAGTAAAAAGACTTGAGGAAAAAAATACTTGCCAATGCCACTATCTGATAAGGGACTCGTATCTAAAATTTATAGAACACTAGCACCTCAATAAGAAAAAGACAACTCAATTACAATATGGACAGAGGACATGCATAAGCACTTCACCTAAGAAAACATTCTGATGACCGACAAACATATGAAATATTCAAGATCACTGCTATTCAAGAGACACAAATCAAAACAAGGGTGAGATGCCATTCCCCACCCCCCAACAAAAGTATCCAAGTTCCACAGAATAGCAACAACTAATGCTGGCCTGGAGGCAGTGAGACCAGAACTGTCACACAGGGCTGGTGGGAAAATGATGGAAGGCAGCTTGGTGTTCCCTCAAAAAATTGAAAATAAAGATAAAATCTGACCAAGCTATTCCACTACTAGGAAAATACCCCAAAGAAATAAGAGCTGCAAGACAAATACATATGCACAATTGTGTTTATTGCAGCATTTTTCACAATAGCAAAGAATAAAAACAGCCAAGTGCCCATCAACATGAATGGATAGAGAAACTGCATGCAGTGCGTTCACACAATGGAGCATTACAAGGATATAATGTTTTCTGGATGGACCAGTAAACAATGAAGAGCTCACGAGATACTACACAGCATTGAAGAGTCTACAAGACATTGTTACATGAAATCAGTCACAAAAGAACAAACACCGTAAAACTGATAAAAACACTAACCAGAGAAGTGTTTATAAACTGAGAGAATCAATCTTGTATGGGTGTAGGGGCGTGCAGGGAGTACAGAATGAACACTCACCCAAGTCCATCATTTGTACAGGAGCCTCCTAACACATACACACTGCCCACCTCTTCTGATTTTTTATACTAAAAAGCAATACAGGAGAGGTTGCTTGATTTTAACCACAGTTAACGCACCACAAAGCACTCTCTTGTTATAAGCAAGGCACCTTTCTCAGTTGTCTGGCAATAACACTTTAGTCAAATGTTCTCCTCGACCTTTGGGCTTCTTTAAGTAGTTTACTTCTCTCTAAGGATTTAAGTTCTCCAAAGGTTGTATTCCTATAAAAGTTTGAGTAGAACAGGAAGAGGCAGTGAAAGTTGGGGGGGGGGAAGATAAAAGGAAAGGACTGATTTTGAAAATTCAGAAAGCACCTCTGAGGGATGTGGCAAGGATGAGATGCAGGCCCCAGATTCTGTCACAGCTTCTGGGCCCTTTACTCAGTAGGCATACCTGATTACCACAGTGGGAAATTTCAGAGGATCCACAGGGGCTGGCAGAACCACATCTGCCTTGTCTGCCATCTCAGCTTCCAGGTCACTGCTCCCATCATAAAATGGGTCCATCAATAGAACTTACGTACATGGAGCGTACCCCATCTACAGGAACAGTCCAAGGACCCAACAGGTGCACTTTTCATGTGGTTCCGACCTACCAGGGCAGCCTCGGAAAAAGATGGGTGATCTTCCGTGTGATTAACAGCCTCTAAAAGCCACAGAACCAGTTTTGACTCAACAGAAGTGGTTTGAGATTTCTGAGCTTTGCTTCTGCCAGTTAGTTACTTAGGCTAGGTACCACACATCTTGTTTAGCTGTTTGAATGTCTCAGCAGAGTAACTAATCCACTTGAACAGTACAATAAAACAATCATGTTTTCCCTAAATTCCAGTACTTAAGATGTGCCACTAAGTTGACAGCAACATTAAAACAGAAGCTAAAACTGAGGGAAAAGGTCAGGTTCACTTTACCTAAGGAAAGTTAGCAAACAGAAAAGAAGAGGTTAATAGCCCTCATTAACAGCAAACATTCACAAATACAGCTGCAAGGAACGGACTTTTGCTGGATATTGCTGTACCCATGAACTGGCTAGTCTGGGTCTCCCACTGGCCAACACAAGGGTTCCTGGTTATTCTGATACCAAGCGGACCAACCAATAGGCTCCATTTCACTAGCACAGAGTTGACAGACTATCCCCTGCTGCTAATCTGATGAGTAACTTCTGCAAAATCACCCTCCAAATCTATTAAAAAAATGTATCTGAGAGGTCAAATACTAATAATAAGGTATCTGACAAGAGCCAGCGGGGCTATTTGTGCTTGAGGGAGACTGAAGGCAATGGTTTTAAATAAAAGCTCTTGATAAATTTTTACTTTTCTGATTTATTTTTTCTTTCTATAAGCAGTAATCACATTGTACCTGGGCAAATGGTGTATAAGGTTTCATAGATTCTGCAAAGAAATAGATTTGTATTTGAAATTTCCTTTCCCATTAACATCTCTGTGAAAAAAGACTTCATTGACAATGCCATGTAACTTCAAACCACATTAAACATATATATATATGTATGTGTGTGTGTGTGTATATATATATATATATATATATATATAAAGCTGCCATAGTATAGGCCAAAAGAGTAATAAATTTTCTTTTCCTTTGCTCAGATTAACAGTGTTATTTTTGTACTTTGGCTTTTTAGGACATCTTAAGAACAGCTTTGCTCATCTGAGAAGTTTTTCCTTCATGGGTGTTCTTTATTTCTTTGGCATGCAAAGCTGGAATTGGTAGTCCTGTTCCCACATACAATCAATCATCTTCAACATGATCAAAAATCACCTTCAAGTGCTGTGGTCTGGCTAAAGTTGAGAACCAGAAATTTACAAAAACTCAATCCATATTTTTTAAATACTTTATATGGTAAAAATACAGCAAAAATAGTTTTTTGTTCACAGAGGAAAAAATATACTGCTATGGTCATGATTCTAAGGATGATTAGTCTCTGGCTCCTCAACAGTGCACTGTAGTGTAGACTGGCTTCACTCCTGGCTTCAGCTCAGCTTCAGTCATTGATCAGAGCTAAAATCATACTGTGGAGAGAAGAGATTCAAGTCATTTCTCTAAATATTTTCTCCAGAATGTTCCTATTGAGTCTGGTCTGTTCAGACTTGCATCTCCATGGTTCAACATGGAACACTAAGTTGCATGAGAGACCATCATCTATACCGAAAGAAAGAACACCTTTACTGGAGCCTCTAGATGTCATGAGAAATAATTTCACTTAAAAACAAACAAACAAACAAACATATTTTTTTCACTAATAACACACACATATAAATAAAGCATGCACACACCCAACATGTAGAAATAATGACATAAACTACATGGCAGTATCTGTTTGTTGAGATATATCAATTGCTAATTCAGAGACTTCTCCAGAGTAATGAGGAACAATGATGTCAGTCTGGAGATTAAGGTGCACCTGAATCACTTGCTATGCATCAGAGAGCTGAACAATGACTAGGGATGATAGAAGAAATGATGTCTTTGAGCTGTTGTACTGGAGAAGAGTACTGAACATACCATGCTAAGAGAACAAACAGATTCATCCTGGAGAGGGTTAAATCAGGCTGCTCCTTGGAGGCAAGGATACTGAGGCTTCATCTGACATACTTTGGACATGCTGCAAGGTGGGATCAATCTTTGGAGAAGGACATCATGCTTGGAAGGGTAGAGAGATAGTGCAGGAGAGGAAGACCCTTGATGAAATGGATTCACTCAGTGACTGGGGAAATGGAGATAGGTTGTCAGAGACAATAAGATTGGCACAGGACTGAGCAAGGTTTAGAGCTGTTGTACACAGGGTCGCTATAAGTTGCGATAAAATGGCACGTAACAACAACAAACCGCATGGCATGCTGTGCCCACAGAGAAATCCTCAGTGTCTTGTGACATGTCCAGAAACAACTCTAAGCCCCATTCAGCTCTCTTCCCAGCTTACATGTAGATCACATCACTGTTTATTTTCCTTAATTTCCTACTTCCATTTATAAAAACAGTCCAATTATAGTATAATTGTATAATAAAGGTGTAACACCATGGTCAAAAGTCATGGTCTGAGTCTGATAATCCCCCAATATTTTGAAAATAAATAACTAAACTGCATTTGTTTCTATTAAGTTGATAATATTTGCTTTAAGTGAAGTTTCCACATAATCAGAGTAAAAACTGAAGTTGGAAACATGTTTAAAAAAAATTGGCACAATATATTAACAAAAATAAGAAGTGGAGTGTTAGGCAAGCCACATAGTTGGCAAAAGGATTTTGAGTTTTTTACATGTTATTCCCCTAAATATATGGTAAGGGCGAGGAGGCATGGGGAATGGGATTTTAACCTAAAACCAGTGTTAGGCTAAAGTTGAGAAAAATAAGCTACAGCCAAAAACCCAAACAAAACTGTAATCATTTGCTGGAAGCACTGGTGGCAAAGTCCACCGTGTGACTCCTCACTGCATGGCTGCCATGCTGGGTGGTCCCAGAGCAGTGCAAGTTCAGGTCTGTGAGGTCCACCAACCTTTGGACTAACTGTTTCTATTCAGTTTTACTTCTTTTGCCTCTTCTTTGTTCCAAACACAAAGAAGCCAATAGTTGAACTTTATAAAGGCAGTTCAGTTCGCAAGCTTTTAAGTTACTGTAGTCAAAGCCGGACAGAGAGAGAACATGCTATGTCTTGATGTCCCTGAGGTCCTTGGATGATCAACTCATTCCCTTAGGGTATCTGGTTCTGAGTAGGAAGTTTACACTAACTGTATGCCTGCGGGTCTAAAATATATGTATTTACAGCACATGCTACAGAGTCGAGAAATAGCCGCAAGCCTGTAGGTGGTCTGAGGTGTAGTCCTCTCACCTGCCCATGTCTGTCTACGTATCCACTTGCAGGTTAATGTTTATTATCAATGATAATGCAGAATTGGCTGAGATAGTGTACCTCTAGGGACTGTATTTTTGTGCATCACTCCTTGTCTTCACTTTAATGATTCAGTGCTGATTATCCCTTATATACTGCTTTTCACCCAAATTAATGTGTCTAAATCTAGTTATGGAGTTCTGGTGGCCTAGTGGCAAGAAGCTGTGCTGCAATCCCAAAGGCACTTGGTTGGAGGCCACCAGCCACTCCATGGGAGAAGGATGGGCAATCTCCTCCCATGAGATTAACTGCCTCTGAAAACCCTCTGGGGGATCAGCTCTGGGTTGGTTCTGACTCAACAGTACACAACACCATATAGTTATTGACTTTTCCTTCCTTTCCCCTCCCCTCATTTTACTCAGCATGTCTTCCATATTCATCTATGTTATGTGGTATTCCATGACTTCTTCATTATTTCTTTAATGCTACACTGCACTCCACTGTGTGTATAAACTATAACCACTCATCCATTGGCAGGGCATGCATAATACCACCAATTGGAAACAATAGGAATCAAATGCCAAGGGAAAAGAGTTACAAGGTCATCTTCTCTCAACCCAATGCCCTGAGCTATCCAACTGATGCCCAAAGATGGGATTCAGGCTGTCAGCATTCAGGCTATCAATGAGGACACAGGATACTAGCCATCAGGCTGTCAATGAAATGTCAGAGAAGAAAAGGGAAAAGAGAGAAATAAAAAGTGATGGATACACTCACTGAGGAATGCAGGCACATTAACTACAGGGGTTGCTGATTTCTGTCTTGGTTGTAAAAAACCAAACCTTTAAGTTGCCTTTGGATTGATTCTGATTTCTCTGCTAGCTGGTCTTCAGCCCATCTTATGTATATCTTGAAACTCAACAACTGACAGCTAAGAAATTCTAGCTTATTTTTACATTCTAAGGTTTCAAGTCTACCAAGGAAAACACTACTCTCCAGTTCTACATTTATCTCTTAAAAGCGTGACTACATTTGCCATGCTCATTTCTTCAGTCCCAAGGTTCCCAATCAATGGAGGAAGCTCCCCCATCGTTCAATCTCCAACAGAGTAAAACCTAGATAGCTGACGTGAATGGAGCAGATAATAGTAAATTTAAAATATATATAGACCTAAAAAAGTAATAAAAATGAGAACAGGTTTGCTATCATAGTCTTAACATTAAATCTCTTTACTCATTATCTATTAACAGCAGGCACATTAGCACTGAGGTAATGAATGAAAACTGGAACTAATACCATTGTGCTTTTTCTGAGTATCTAAAATACAGGAAAGCAACTAAAATAAATAGTGACTAGGAAACCATCTAAACACTAATTTCAATCCACAGGATTGAAATCTATGCTGGTGAGTGATATTATCACAGTGAAAAAATTCTAGAAAGCCTGCTTCGTTAGGCATAGGATGAAATGATTCCTACTCCTACACTATTTTAGACAAGACAGTAATTTTTTTAATTGAGATTTTAATGAAAGTTTATAAAGAACTTGGATTTCCATTCACTCATTGTTACACATTTTTCTGCCTGCCCCCTTGCCTCCCTAGTTTGCTTTTTTCTTTGGAAAAAAAGTTCTTTCATTGTTATGCAGTCCCCCCAGCCCTGACAGTAATTTTTTTTTAAACTAATGCTACACAATTCCTGAGCTCTGGCCTAGTGGGTAAAAGGTTGTGCTGCCAACACAAAGCCAGACAATTCAGACCCACTAGCTGCTCTGTAGGAGAAAAAACGAGCAATCCCCTCCTTTGCAATTTCAGCCTCTGAAAACTCACTAGAGGGTCAGCTGTGAATTGGTTCTGATTTGAAGGCACATAACAACAGACAACTTCAAATTATTATAGACTTTCTGAGAGGTAGAATATTATTTATATTACGGTTTAATATAATTGTTTCATAATAGTCCTTATGCTTATGTGGCAGAAAAGACCAAGAGAAAAGTTAGGAGAGATCTCATTACGCTTTGATGCAAAAAAGTAAGCCTGATTTCTAGTCTCTTAAAGACTCAATCAAATTGCCCAGGCCAAAATCAAACCAGATGACATCAAGTCATTTCCGACTCCTGGTGACCCTCCAGGACTGAGCAAGGGTAATGTTCTGAGGCTATATGGTTCATAAGAGCAGCCAGCCACATATTTGCCCCCGGAGGTGCCTGGGTTCAAACCATCCATCTCTCAGTTAACAACCAAAGATTTAACAACTGTGCCACCAGTGCTCCTTATTATGACATCCTCTTCCTCGGATCTAATCTAGGGATCTCTGTTGGGTAAAGGAATTCATAAGGATGATGCAAAGAGACAGGCTGGTGCTTCAAGCACACTGCAGGAGAAAATGTAGCTGTCTGTTCCCTTAAGGCAACAACATTGTCCCACAGGGTCAGTAGGAGTCAAACAGTAAGGGGTGGTTTTGTGGTCTGAGGCTTGTTGGTGACAGGGCAAAGGAAAAAGTGGCATGTCTGTCTAAAATATAAAATATACATGTCTGTATAAAATATAATGTTTAAATACAATTTAAACATGCAAGTTTAAATTGTGTCTGCATCAGGCTTCCAGTACCTAATAATTGATCCTTCGTATTAATCTCTACTTCTATTATAATTCGTCATCTGCAGCAATGTTACCAGAGCAGATCATCCAGGATGCTAGAGAGCTGGCATTACACCCAAATGCCTGACTGCCATGAAAGAGAAGCCCAAACTGGCTACAAGTTGTAGAGACATTTGGCCAACATTCTGATGCCCTGGACACCCATGAATGGGAATGCCCTTGGGGGAGCAACCATTCATGCTTCTAACTGTAAAACCTTACAGCGACAATAGGAACACAAAGCCCATCTACAGTATGGTGGCAGCCTCAACAGCCAAGGTTAAGGTCATCCTTAAAAACACGTATGCAATCTACAAAGCCATGAGACATTCACAAAACCCTCCAACCAGCAATGCAACTGCCAAATCCTCTAATTCTACAGTACTAAATTTTCGCTCATCCATAAAGGCTTGACGTTCAGGAAACTCCACGTGGACATCAACGCACCTGTACAGATACATGAAGAAGCAAAGCAAGTGAAAACCAAGTTTGATCATTGCTTCCTTCATGTGTGACTTCAGCTGCCCTCGATTGTGTATTTCTGTCGGATCAAACACTCCCATGTTTCCACTTGGCACCATAATGAACCTGGGAAATTAAAGGATACACATTACAGAAAGAAGAAAATAATTAGCAAAAATAGTCAAAAAGAAATAAGAACTGATAACCATTAGAAATAAACCAACCACAGCAATATCAAATCCAGATGCATTTATGGACACAATGATGTGGTAATAATGCCATGGGTCCCCAGTGAACCTTCCTTGCAGTACTTATAAGACAAGTCATCTTTTATATACTTTTCTGCTCTCGCAAGCAGACAGTGTAACACATCAGGGAAGGATGCTTTATAGTTTTCCCCCCACCTTCCACAGTGAGCTATGTAAGAGTTTATATCTATAACCCTTTTCCCTTAGGTCAAAGCAGCCTCCAAAACCTTATCAAGTTTAGGAATATCTTGATCTAAAATGTTCTGCATCGATCTGATTTTCCTCTTATATGGGTCACACATAATTGTCGTCATTTCACGGGCAATTGGAAAAATGAGAGATTCCACGTTTGGTTCCAAACAAATGCTAAGTTAGCAGTTCTGCAAACTCCAAGGGAGCCTTGGCGGCCCAACAGGGAGTCGTGCTGCTGCTCCACAGGAGGCACTCTTGTCAGCTCAAATCCACCAGCAGCTCCTTGAGAGAAGGTGGGGCAATCTCCAGGGAGCTTTACAGCTTTACAGCTACACCACTGGGGTGTCCTGACCAAGAGTAATGAGAGAGGGAGGGAAGGACAGAGGGAGTATATTCCAAACAAAAACCAAGGCACAGCCCACAGGATCACCAGCGTTTTCTAGACTGAACAGAACAACTTAGATGATCTTGCTAAAGCTGCACGGTTGATAAACGACACCTACCTTAATAACAGCAATTCAGAAAATACAGACTAACAATAGCGAAAATAGACGCTAAAACAAAACTCCACCTCAGGTAAAAAAGGCCAAAGAGCAAGTGTAATGTTCTGTAACTCTTAGAAAAGCACAGATTAAATGCAAAATATTATAAAGTAACTACAGCACATAAGACCCAAAGATTATCTCATGGTAGAGGCATTACTTACCCCAAGTAAGAGAAGAGAAATGAAGTTTAAATCACAGAGGATGCGGGGCACAGCTGGCCTGAGCCTATCTAGCCCGGACCACTTGGCACAATCCAAAACCAACTTTTTAAAAAATAATCTTGAAGACAGATATGCTGAAGTTTACTGAATTCTTCAGAAAGCATTTCAATCCATAAGATCAATGTGGTGTTGTACACACCTGACAATCTTTTCCTTCCCTTTTTCAAATAAGGAAATTTGGTTCCTCCAAGAGGATCAATAAGGAGTCTGTGGCACAGTGGGCTACACACCAAATTGTGAACTGAAAGGTCAGTGTTGTGAACCCACTAGCCTCTCCATGGGAGGAAGACGAAGCGGTCTTCTGTAGTTTTATGGTCTTTGAAATCCCAAGGGGCAGCTCTTCTCTCCAGCTGCCAGGAACCCTGTTCCTCCTGACCGTAGTGAGCTAGGGTTAGATGGTAACATACATGTCTGACCATAAACGCCCTGGCTGTGCATGGGCATGGGCGCTCTTGCAGCAGGTACGACACACACTCAGGCCTCCTGCTTTCACACTTGCTCCCCAGCTTCCAGCCAGGTCCTGGTTCCCCTCAGCACATACTCAGCTTCATAACTTCTGAGTTCCACAAATCTTCACTTTTCTCCATGATCCCTCCATAGTCCATCTGTGGCTGAAGTGAAGTTTCAGAGAGCCTTACTATACTCTCTACTATCCACCTAAATTGTCACCACCTCCTTAGTGGACCAGAAAATCCTTCCCTTAAAAACTTCTGATTTCGCTCAGCTTTATCTTTCATAGCCAATTCATTAAATTTTTGTCAGTTCTTCCTTGTATTATCACTTCTGTAGCTTTATCTTTTCAATTCCCATTATCTCCAGAGTCTCCTAACCAACTTCCCCAACTCGTAGCTTATCCAACCTATAGAGTGCTTCCAGAAAAACATTCCCAAAGCAGAATTGTATGTTAACTGCTCAAAAACATAAAAACAAAATATATAATGCTTGATGGCACCATTAGTCCACCAGCAAGGAAAATACATGCTGAGATCACAATATTCTACTTCATATTCACTAAACCAAGAGTTTAACTAAACATGGCCCAAGTGGAGACTCCCTGTGCATTAGACATAACTGAGCTCTGCCAAGATTTCAAAGCCGTGATCTTTAAAATATGCTGCAAGGCCTCTCCTCTATGGTAACTAAGCAGTTAACTGTTGACATCACTCAAGGGCAATTCAAATACATCAATTGTCTTTCATTTTCCTTGTCTAACTTTTACAGGATGGGATGAAAAGGTATGGCATATAATCAATCATCAAAGTGATATTTTTACTTTTTCCAGAACTTTGGAAGTTTTTGCAATAGATTTGCCCATTGAAATGAATCATTTGATTTCTTGACTACTTCTTCCATGGATATTAACTGCTAATCCAAATAAAAAGTGTTAACAACCTTAATTTTTTTCCCATCCACTTAACATAATGCTGTATACAGACAGTGGTCTATTCACGACCATTGTCATTCTCTTCCCACTGGTATAATCCAAATTAAAAGCTGGAGTCCCTGATGTTCGTTGTTAATTGTTTCAGATCTTCTTCACTTTAAGCAGGGAAGACTGCGTAGCTGCACAGGGAAGCTTACCGATAAGGACTCTTCTTCCAACTCTAAGGCCACACCTTCACATTCCAGACTCATGGAGCATTTGCTCAGTATAAAGATCAAGTGATCTGAAAGAACACAACCTGCTCCTACATACTTGCCCATTTTAATCCAAATTTAATCCATGTGTATCCCCTCATTCTATGTGAACAACTGTCCTGTGACCCATGTAAAAGTACTACATGAGCACAACTTTGTGGACTGGAATTCTTAGTCTTCATAATGTAAAAGAACTCTTGAGAAGGGTTTAAAGCTCAATGCTCGAGTCTCACCATGTTTAGAAAGCATTCCTCCAGAGGCACTCACTCCTTCATCACTATGACCATCCAATTTGCTTTCCTGTCTTTCTTGCCTCTTTCATTCTTCTCTACATTCTCTTAGTCCAACTGTTCTCTTTGCCCCTAAGTTTTACTTATTTTTTTGTGTGTGCTGCAAATTGTCAACTGCCCTTATATAAAAAGAGGACAAGAACGTATGCTGAATTAGTGAAGCATCTGCTGTCATTTATTTTATTATGGCTACACACTTTACTCAAGAAGTATATTAAAGCGACCAGCACACAAACCTATGCTGACAGAAAGCAATAAACAAGCAGAACTCATCATTGGTGAGCTGACACTTATTCCCAAAGCAGAATGAAGCCGTCCCCCAGGGCCCGGCTGCAGTGTTCTGGAAGAAGGCTGCTGCGTCTCTCGCAGGGAAATGCATATTGCAGCTCCGTACTGCTGTCTTTCTGTTAGCAGCTGAGGACTTCACCACTGTACTACTTGTTGCTGTGTGCCCTTGAGTCAGAACTGATCCATAGCTGACCCTCCAGCTGGTTTTCAGAGGCAATTAATTACATGGGAGGAGACTGTCCATCCATCTCTAACGAAGCAGTTGGCGGATTCAAACTGTGTGCCTTCAGGATTGCAGCATAGCTTTTTAGGACTTCAAAATAAGTAACTATACTCACCGATATATATTCCATGTAGCAACAGGCATGTTAAGAAGAAAGAGGAACCAGTGCAATGAAGCGAGCATTAATACAGTGACAATGGTGTGGCCGATCAACTCCGGAATGACCCACTGCAAGGGAAGAACATATTACTGCATCACTCTTACTGTGTCCTGCTTGACTATATGTTATTTGACACTAAATCAAGAAAACCGAGAAAGAATTTACAAGCTACTACTTCAAGATTCCTTTTAGAGTCAGATGCCTCAGATTTGTACACTACTTTCTGCAGGCAAATAAATCCATGTACCACTAAAAGCACTTGGGTTTCTATTATATTTTATCTCAAGTAAAGGTTTCAATTCACTAAGCAGGTTCTGAATGACAACTAGTGGGAGGAAAACAAAAGTACTATTTCTTTTCTATTCCAGTTAAAAGCCTCCTACTCTAATTTGGTTGTGATGGTTGATATCCACATATACCCTCGCTTTCAGAGAGAATGATCAACTTTAAACATTTCCAAAATCCTTAAGAGGAAAGTCATCTCACATTCTGAAAAGCTTGTTGCAGCAACACCTCCTGACCTTGTAGCACTCCATTCTCTCAACTATACTCCTTGTTTATTACGACATTTGCTATTGCTACAGGATTCCCCCACCATGGAGTCACTTTTCTTCACATGGAAACCAACAGCTAACAGAAGTGTGAAGGATTCTTTTTTGGCACTAATGATCCAAGAGAAAATACCTACCAAAAAACTCTTGCCATTTCAGTCATCCCACCAAAGTGCAGGTAGATAGCAATTAACCTAGAGTGGAGTTCACCAATGAGAGATACATGTATCTCACACGATATACAGAAAATTTAGAATTCTTCTAAATCAAAGATGAGAACTATAGTTTACTAACTAGACAGTTTAGCTCTCTCACACCAGTGAAATTTAAGTGAAGAGAGAGTCTTCACTTATAGGTCATGTCAAAATCACTTCTCAGTATCTCTCAGTTATATGAAAGGTATCATCAGTTCTGTTTGCTTGTTTCACAAAGTGAATCAGACCAATGATTTTTCAAGACATTGTTTCTGACTAGACTACAGATAAAACTTCCTCAGAACAGAATAGACCAACTAAACCCATTTCACAGTAAGCCACACAGAGGTCTTTCCCATTTAACAAAAGACAGACAGACTGGGCTTTTTTTTACCATGAGCATGGAGTAGGGGTTTGGACAGTTACCCTCATGATGAACATCCACCAAGCCCGAGTAATGCTGCCAAGGAGGCAAGGAAGAGGCAAAGTAAAGAAACAAAACTTCTAAATCATGAATCCCAATATGAAAAGAAATCATAGTCTGATTTAAATAAAATAAAAATAATTCCTTTATTTCTTATCCTTAATGTAAATTCGAAACTATTATTTCAATGAGCATTCTGGTGAATAAGGGTCATTAGTAGTTTAAATCAAATATACATCAAGTTGAGTAGTTAATAATCTTCATACAGAAGATGAAGAGCTGATTTCCAACACCATAAAATGAACAAAGAAATGTCTTACCTTGTTTAATTTTGAGCAACATGATCTAGCATTAATGTAATCACATTCTAAATCAGACAGTGTTATTATCTGAGGACCAAGATAAGGAATTACTAGTTTTGGAGCTCTGGTGACCTAGTGGCAACATGCTGTGCTGCAATCCTGAAGGCACGCAGTTCAAATCCACCAGATGCTCCGCTAGAGAATGAGGGGCAATCTCCTCTTGTGCCAGTTGGATCTGATTCAAGGGTACACAGTAAGAAAGGGAGGTGGTGGGGGGAAGAGGAATTAATAGTTTTATAGCAACAAAGTAATTTTTTACATTTCTAAATTAATTAGGGACAATCTTATATTTACTTAGAGTTGGCTCAATTTTCTCATTTATGTTCCTCTCAAAAAATTATTTTTACAAAGCAATCCTTGCATTGTGCTCTATCCCAATACAGCCCATAAAAGGAACAGAGAATCAGTCCATCTGAATTCCTCAAATGTATACCAATAGTGATAGAAACAGGCAACACCTATAATAAGATTTTCAGTGTTAAAAGTATAAATTCTTAAAAAAAAAGTCTAAATTCTCATAGAGGGAGCACACACATCATGCCTTGCTTCAGGAGAGTCATATAAATGTTCACACAGAATCTCATTCCGGACAATCTGGGCACCCTGAGTTCTGGGGGATGTTACTGAGAGCAAGTTCAGCCAGGAGGAAGGGTGAAAGGAGGAGTGAGGACTGGCAATCAGTCCCATAAACCAGGCAGCCAAGAGCTCAGGGTCCACAAACAGGAATATAGTGTCACCATCATTCAGGGATCTGCCATGGAGTACCGAAGACCTCTTCTGCCCACTTTGGGCAGACATTACCGAAACAAACTTTTATCTAAACAGGCAGGACGAAAGTGGGCCCTGCCAGGAATGGCAGTTTCCCCCAAAACTGTGGCAAGCAAGTCAACACCATCTAAGCTCAAAAAAGCCATCATGAATGACCTACTGGAAAAGGCAAGGCATGTGTCGAGGATGGAAACTGGTATATGCTGATTCCCATAGAAAGAGCAGCACTCTTAACACAAAAACCATAGCCACAGACATCAGTGTGTTAGTACAGTAAGCCCCAAATCAGTGATTTGTGGGGACACAGGAAGATACTGACTGGCTTTGCAAGGATCAAAAGGTCCAGGCCACAAGCACTTTTGGGAGTAGACTCCTAGGTCCCTTCCCTGATGACTCACCCTAAGGGTGATGCCAGCCAGACCTTAAGCTATACCCCTCTGGCTACATCTAAAAGGCATTGTAGCACAGTTATTTACTTAGAAGCTGACAGATCCTGAAGCACAGAGAGCCCCTGATAAAAAGAGAGTCAGAGACAAAGAATTTAAAAGCAAAAGCTCAAAGGCTTCTTCCATAAGGGGCTAGAGGCAAAGGCAAAAAAACTCCTAACTTCACCAATGGTCTGGCTCCAGCACCATCCTCACTGTGGGCCTCACAGCAAGCCCGGCTAGGACACCCATGCACTCCATTACAGCAAAGGTCAGCATGTACACCAACTGATGAGCATCAGAGTGCAATCACCACCAACCACCATCCTTAAACAACAGCACTGCACAAACAGTGAATTGATAACTACACAGACACACCAGTTGTTGCCACACACATGCCAAAAGAAGGAGGAGGGGAACCTACAACTTTACCACAATGTCCCAGAAGTAGCAGACAGCATCAAACTCCACCAAAAAAACTCAAAATAAGTCATCACAACAAGGAGACTAGATCACAGAAACAGCGAATATTCCTGAGGCGGGAAGTCTAATGGGATACTCCAACGTAGAATTCAGAGTGATGGTGCACAAGAAATGACAAAAGATGGAAGAAAGAATCATTGCAAGACAAAATGGATACAACCAACAAGAGACTGGAAGCTATACAAAACCATGAAATTATAACTCAGAATAGTAAGACCAATATTATAGAAGCTACAGACATGAGAGAGGGACAAATGACTAGAACTGGAGAAACAAAACACAGAATCAATGAGACAGAAACAAGGAAAAAAAGCAGAACAAAAAGGAAGGAAAACACCCATCAACAAACAAATGGACAGAGAAGCTGTGGTATATTCACACAATGGAATACTATGCTGCATTGAAAAGCAAGGAACTCATGCAATATTATTCAAAATGGGTGACTCTGGAGGACATTATGTTGAGTGAAGTATCTCAGTCACAAAAGGACAAATACTGCATGGTGCCACTGTTGTAAAAAAGAACTGACATCAGGGTTGGGGGGAGACTGAGAAAGATGGGTTCAATAATGTATACTGCATTGAAACAGATGAGGGAGAAAACTGTTTAAAAGGGATATGTGGTTAGGTATTTTTGTCACAACATGAGTCCAGAGCGAAGGTTGCATAGTGGAGTGGACCTGGGGGGAGGGATTATAAAACAATGAAAGAATTTTTCTTTTACTTTTCCAAGAGGGTAGTGTACTAGGGAGGAGGGTTGGGAGAGGAGAAAAGTGCAACAATGAATGAATGGAAATCCAAAGTCTTTGTAAATGTTCATTGAAATTAATAATAAATTTTAAAAAAGAAGGAAAACGAAGAAACCATATGAATTTGTGAGATGTCATCAAGAAAAATAACATGAGGGAGTGGAATTTCAGAATAGGAAGAAGCAAAAAGAAATAAACATAAAGCACTGAGAACCCTGTAGAAGAGGTACCTAAAGAAAACTTTTGGTGGGGGGGAGGGCTGGGCGGGGAGAGAAGTGCAGTAATGAATGAATGGAAACCCAAAATCTCTGTAAATGTTCATTAAAATTATTAAAAAATATATTAAAATAATTTTTTTAAAAAGAAAACTTTCCAGGTATCATAAAAAATAAATAAATAAACATTTGAGCAGCTGAGCAAACTCCAAACACAGTAAAACCACAAAAGAAAAAACTTAAGACATAACATAGCCAAATTTCCCAAAATCAAACACAAGGATATTATTGGTGCTCAGTGCTGCCAAGTCGGAAACCATCCATCACGGAACTCCAGTGAGTTTTCAGAGGCTTTCACTCACTCAAATGGAAAGTTCTACTGTAGAGCTGGTGAATTTGAACATGCTGGCAGTGCAGTTCCTTACCACTAGGTCACCAGAGTTCCTTAAACACAGGATTGCTATTGTTGTTGAATGCCATCGAGCTGGAATTGACCATAACTGACCGTCTAGTGGGTATCTGAAGGCAGTAAATTGCTTAAGAGAAAGTGCTCATCCTTCTCATGTAGAGCAGCTGGTGCATTCAAGCCATGTGCCTTCGGGATTGCAGAATAGAATACTTTAGGCAGCTCAAGAAAAATGAAGCATTACATACAAACAAGTAAGATTAAGCTCTATTCTCAGAAGCACAAGAATAAGAAGATAGTGGAATGACAGATACAAACTTCTAAAACAACTGCCAACTGAGAACTCTGCACCAGCGAAACTGTCCAACAATATAAAGGAGAAATCAGGTCATTCTCAGAAAAGAACTAAAAGAATTCATGAAACAAAATAAGCCTCACACAGACACAGACACACACACACACACACACACACACACACACAACCAGCACAGAAAAGGAATGAACTAAAGTAACTGGCAACAACAAAAAAAGAACTCAACAAAATTGCATCAATAAAGCCTTACCTATCAACGATCACACTGAATGTCAATACCATTAGTGCATCAAGTAAGAAAAAGAGTAGCAGAAGTTTTAAAACCTCACTGATATGCTCTCTACAAGAGACATATCAAAGAAATGAGGTAGACTGAAAACCAAAGAGTAGGAAAAAATATACGAAGCAAACAGCAACCAAAAGAAAGCATGGGTACAATACTAAGCTCTGATAAAATGGATTCGGATTTCAGGGTGAATACCAGCATAAGATACAAGGAAGGAAATTATAGGATATTTAAAGGCATACATGAAAAGAGGTTTGTTGCTGTTATGTGCTATCTAAACCCTTACTTCCTAGGAGCACTGTGGCCACACTTCCTCTAAGACTTATCTGTTTGTTCTTTTTTTTTTTTTTATTATTTTTGTGTGCGTGTACCGTCAAATCAGATCTGACTGGTACAGGAGGAGATTGTCCCTCCTTCCCTGGCAGAGCATATGGTGGATTCAAACCGTGGGCCTCTGGGATTGTAGTTGCAGCTCCTTGCCACTAGGCCACCACTGTTTGTTCTTTTGACAGTTCACAGATATTCAAACTCTTCTCCAACACCACAACTCAAAGGCATCAATTCTTCTTCTGTCAACCTAATTGACTGTCCACCTCTGACATGGATAGCTAGTGATGGAAAAAAATCATGGCTTGAATCAGTCAAAACTTAGTTTTCAAACTGACATCATTGCTCCTCAGTACTTTGAGAGGTTCCTGACAACAGATTGTCTGACCGCAACATGTCTTGCTTTCTTAACTGCTCATGCCAAAGGTGTTGACAGTGAAAACCAGAAAAATGAAATCATTGACAATTTCAACCTTTTCTCCACCTCTCATGATGTTGCTTAATGGCTAGGTAGAGAGGATTTTTGTCAGAGTAAGGGGACATAACCATAATAACATCTAGTCACCAAATTACAGAGCTACACAACACACACACACACACACACACGAACCCATTTTAATAGACCTGAAGAAACAAACTATACTACAATAGTAATAGGAGACTTCAACACACCATTCTCACTGAAAGATAGGACAACTGGATAGAATCGTAAAAAGATACAGTACTTCACCAAAGAAGACATTCTGATGGCAAACCCATGAAAAAATGTTCAAAATTCCTAGCTCTAAGAAAGATACAAATCAAAACAATTATGAGATAGCATCTCACCCGAGTAAGAATAGCAAAATTTAACAGAGCAGCAAACAACAAATGTTGGCGAAGTTGGGGAGAAACTGGAACCCTTATTCACTGTTGGTGAGAGTATAAAATGGTGCAACCACTATGGAAGGCAGAGAATTTGCAAAAAGAAATATCATTTGACCCAGCAATTCCACTGCTAGGAAGATACCCTAAAGAAACCAGAACTACCACCCAAGCAGATATATGAACACCCAT